AATTTTGGTCAATGACATGAGACAAAGTATATGTGAACTGCTGTATGAAAAGTGAATTTACTCTGTAAATCTTCACCCAAATCCTAATTAAAACAAAAAAAGAGAGAATAGAGAATTAAGGCTTGAGCTGAGACAGGAGGGGTCAGTTAAAAATGCCCAGGTTTTGGGAAATTTTTCCAGTCACTGAGACCTGGTTGAAGAGGGTGAATGAACTGGGTCAAAGTTACCTGCTAGGTGTTGCTGTCTTTAGGAGTTAGCCAAGTGCAGGAAAAAGCTCTATAGACTGTGAACTGTAGAAACCCCTTGGCAAGCATATAATTACTTGCCTAAATAAAGCTCAATTAAGAACATTATAAAATGCTACCCAATTTTTTCTCCCTTTCAGAAGTATCCAAGTTATTTTGTACTTCTGTGATCAAAGCTATTCTGGATGTAGAAAGCCAACAAACGCATCAAAGATACTACATGTATAATTGGAAATCTCAAGATGCACTAAGAGGTCCTTCTCTGTATTCCCACATCACCTCCATATACCCCCAAATTATTTTTCACTTGGCTCTCTTCTCTACTCAACTGCAAGCTCAAGGATATGTATTAACTTTGTAGCCTCAACTTCTAACATAGCACCTTGTCACACTTTAAGTAATTAATAAATATTTGTTGAACAAGTGGATAAACAGAATAATCCTTTTTTAAAAGACTCTGCCAAATCAGGAGATAGGTGGTAACTGAGGTAACAATGATTAGTATGATCAGGAATGAGGAACCCCAGGCAAAGGAGTCTAGAAAGCAGGCATCTCTGTTCCTACAGTAGCCGCTGGTTCAGCAGTCCAGGCAAGCTAAAGGCCTGGAAGTCAGAATGCAAGACATGGTGATTTCATATCAAATGCCTTCTTAAAAAAAAAAAAAAAAAAAGTCAGCTGAGTTTGAATCTCCTAATCTTGTGACTTTTGGCAAGTCATCGTCATTTTCTGGGCTCAAGGTGGCTGATCCACTTGATCTCTGAAACAGTGCTTATAAACAAAGGTTATTCTCTGCTTCCCATCAGGGGCCGGGACTGGTAATATGTCTATTTTAATAGCCCTAGGAGACTACAGGCACCAACCAAGCAGTGAATGGAGTCGGTTGAAAAGTCAAAACAAGAGTAGAGCTGGAATTATGATTCCTGCAGGGTAAATACTCAATACAACATAATCATAGTTAGGTAGTTAATACATAAATTTAGCTGTTTTTTGCCTTCCAAACCTGAACTATATCAATGTACCTTAATATGTTATCAGTTCACTTCAGCACATTCATTCCATGGAGGTGACAAAAATGCAAACAAGTTAAATTGACTTTTACAGAATAATTATTAATTTATCTTTTTGTGTGGGAGTAGAATCCTCCATTTTAAGGTGTACATAAAATGCCAGGCCCTAGATTCATGACAATGACTTTTTAGTGCTTTTTTCAAACATGTTATTTTATAGGACAGTTAGCTTATAAAAAAAAAACCAGTGAATAAACTCAGAAAACACTAGTAAAAACACTTCAGCCATGGCATATACAACCAAAAGCTAATGACACCTTCAATTATAAAAATTAGCACTACTTTCTGTTTGCTACTAAAGTAGGATTTCATGATGAAATCCAAAATCCAGAAATTGTCCTACAACAGACACAAATCAGATCAAGGGAATTAACCACACAATGTAAAAAAGGAGGGGGGGAAAAAAAAAAACATTGTCATCAAGTCAATTCTGACTCACAGTGATCCTACAGGACAGAGTAGAATTGCCACATAGGGTTTCTAAGACTAAAACTTTACAGAAGCAGACTGACTCATCTTTATGCTACAGAGTAGCTGATAGGTTCAGACTGCAGACCTTCTGGTTAGCAGCCAAATGCTTTAACCCCTGAGCCACCAAAGCTCCTTTAACAAAATGTAAGAGATGCTGTTAATCTGAAAAAAAGAAAAACAAAAATAATGAACAACCAAACCTTTCTGGGACATAAATATTGATGACAAGATTTCTAAGTAGTTATCCCTATATTTATTTAGTTAGAAAAACACTTCTAGCACATTACACTATTAGGGAGTAACCATTAGGGGCTACGTATATATGATATGTAGACACTGATGCAAGGTGCAGATTTTCTTCCCTGAGAGCTTTCTATAGATACCCAGAGGATACACCTATGTTTTGATCTCTCATATTAGTCTTAAATTATTTCAACTTATGATCTATTACAAACATTTCTTACAATCATGTTCACTGTAGTACTATATAAAGACAAACTAGATAAACTTTTTAATTGCCTATAGAATCTCTTGCAGGTTATCATGCTATGACAATAAAATCAGAATATTCATAATGTGTCAAATCCGTGAGTTTATTAATTTAAATAAGGAGCCCTGGTAGCATAGTGGGTAAGTATCTGGCTGCTAACCAGAAGCTTGGTAGTTCAAACCCACCAGCTGCTCCACAGGAGGAAGATGAAGCAATCTACTTTTGTAAAGATTTACAGCCTTAGAAACTCAATAGGAGTTGCTATGAGTCAGAAATGATTCAATGGGAGTGTGTTTTTTTTTTTTTCCTGGTTTTCTTAATTTAAATAAAAATATATGGCCCCATCATACAAACAGATAACTCTAAATGCACTTTGAAAATTCTAAACAATCAAGAAGTATCTATTTGCAGAGTATGTGCCCAGTATCATATTACATGAAAGATAAGGTTGTTGATCATTGGTAATCAATCATTAAAATGGTCAATGATTTACTATTTTGGGAAAACTATGAAAAATTCTCTGGACATTGTTTATTCTTGCCCTTCTAAGAGACTTGGAGATTCAGATAAGATTAATTTGGAAAAAGGGTCTTTTTTACTCTAGAATTTTCAGAGTCCAACACAATTCTGGGTTAATGAGTGACTAAAGAGGCTTTTTAATGATAAATCAGCTGGAAATCCTCATTTTTAATGAACATATTTTAGTCAAATATAGAATTAATCAATAAGTATCAGTTCAGAATTCCTGGAATGTACCCAAATGCCACCTGGCCATTAACATTCAATTTCCAACTTTACTGACTCCTTGGCTGAAGGTAGATGATACAAAGAATATTGTGTGCTATAAAAATTAATTTTACTCTAATGTCCATAATCTTGCAAGAAAATTTTTTCCTTTTAATATAAGAAATTATTGACTCAAATGAATACTAATTAACACAAACACAGTGTAAGTGAAACTGGAGGCAGGGGGAAACTCTAACTACACAGCAAATACATGAAAGAATAAATCATAAGAGAAGAATCATTTTTCCAGAAGTCCCACTGCCATGAATGATATTTTCATGAGCTTGTGCCACTTTTTCCAATGGATACTGAGAACCTATTATAGGTTTCAACCAACCAATTTCCATTCCAGCTTGAAGGGCTGCTGCAGACTGCTGAAATTCCTCCTAAGGAAAAGAAGAAAAGTTTTTTTTTCTTTAATAGACCATGGCTTAACTTTCAGAAGCATTAAAAAAAACTTCAGAATCAAAAGAGTTATAGATAAGAGTGTCTTACAAGTATATGACTTTTATGAACTTTAGATAAAACAGTAGAATTGTTTTCTATAGATACCCATAAGCCTGCTCCCTTTACAAAATACCCATTGCTCTGACGTTAGTAATAGTACTCTCTTTCTTTCTCAAAAGTGATCTGACTTGGATAATAAATGGTATTATTGTTGCCCTTATAAGGAGCTCTGGTGACACAGTGGTTAAAGTACTGGGCTGCTAAGCAAAAGGTCAGCTGTTAGAACCACCAGCTGCTCCACAGGAGAACGACAAGCTATTCTGCTTTTATAAAGATTTATATACAGCAGTTCTCTCTCCTACAAGGTCACTACAAGTTGGAATTGACTGAATGGTAGTAGGTCCCCCACCCACACCAAATATCTTCTAGAGATGAATTATCAAACTTACTCCTCAGTCAAATAACTAAATTTAACACCTACTCAATAAACTTTTAGTAGGCCTGACTTGGTAAACTGTACTAACTTTTAGTAAAAAAATCAGAATCATTTCTTTCCCTACCTTGGTTGATGAATAGAGAGATACTCCAATTATACTAGACTCCTTTGCCATGGTGTCCCGCGGATTTATCTCAATAGGACCTCTGCTGCCAACAATCTGTTAAGAAAAACAACATATCTCCTATTAAAGATTATTCCAAAATAATATTAAATGTAAGATTTAATAATCCAAAATTATGGTAAAACTTCAAAGTGGTAAAAAAAAAATGAAATACTTACTATTACTCGTCCTCCATATGACAGAAGTTTCAAATCATTACTAAGATTTACATTAGCTAGCATTTCAATAATCACATCAATTCCTTTATCACCAACAGATTTCTATATAAAATATAAATGAATGTATAATAGGATAAGAAAGCAAGCAAAAAACTGTAAAATAGTTATCATAGTTCCATATGTACTTCAGAAATATATTTCATCTCAAAAAGGAAAGATTTTTGTTTCAAATGACATATAAACTGATATTTTCAAGGCTAATAATGCAAATTTTAAAATGATCTAATTATATAATGATGATGTAGTTTCAGGGCACAACCTCTAAAATGATAAAGATGTCTACTAAAAAAAAAAATGCTGTAATAAAATAAAACTTGCCTGGAATTTTAGGTGCTTAAGAAGCTCTGGTGGCGCAGTGAGTAAGGCATTTGGCTGCTAATCAGAAGGGCAGCAGTTCAAACCTACCAGCTGCTCAGAAAGAGGAAGATGGGGCAATCTACTTCTGTAAAGATTTACAGCCTTGGAAACCCAATGGGGTTCACTATGAGTCAGAAATGACTCAATGGCAGTGAGTTTAGTTTCTGGATTTATTTGAAGGTCGGCAGTTAGAGCCCACCAGCTGCTCTATGGAAGAAAGATGAGGCAGCCTGCTTCTGTGAAGATTTACAGTCTTAGAAAGCCTATGGGGAAGTCTGTCCTATAGGGTCACTATGATTCAGAACTGACATAGGGTAGGTGATGATCATTTGTACATAAATTATTTTTTCCTTAGTTGAAAACTTCTATGTCCAAAATGTATTTTTCAGAGAAACGAAAAACAAACCAAAAACCCAAAGCCCCCAAGGAACTCTAACTTTTACTAGAAAAGAAAAAAATGTCAGTGTTTGGTGTTACAGTATATCTTTTGTGTATTCAGTTTTGTTCTAAATGGTTAACAATCAATTTTTCATACTAGTTCTTTTGTTTTTGGCTCCCAGATGTTGGTTCCCTGGATCCAAACCCTGCTCTTAAAAAGCTCTACATATCCATATCATATCAATTTTATTTTAATGGAAAAATGAATACTTGTGCCAGGCATTCTGTTTGGTTAGAAATTCAAAGATAGACAATAGGAAGTTTAAATTTTTTTTTTTTTTAAACAATTGCTAGGGAGAAAAATAAGATATGACTAGCTATAACTGAATGGACTAAGTGTCTTATTAGTAGAAACAAACCATAGGTTAGAGAGAAAAAGTTAGTCTGATTGTCTGCAGTAGTCAGAGAAAGTTTTGCAGACATTATGGTGCAGGCTTGAAGGAGGAATAAGAGTTCCCTAGGCAATAAGAAAGGAAGACAAGCAAAGTGTACCTTCAAGTTAGGCACAGACAGTCCAGACAGAAGAAACAGAAAAGCAAAGGTGTGGAGGGCTGAGAGCAAAGTCAGGATTATAAAGTAGCCCAGGAGAGCATGTATTTGAGCAACGGGGGTGGTGGGGCACGGAAGGAGACTAAATTGTTGCATAGTTTGAAAATACACTGAATGCCATGTTAAAGAATTTGATTTTTTTTGGCACATGTTTATTAATTCACATGTCAGGCATTGTTCTAGACACTGGAGGTACAGCAGGGAACAAGAGAAACAAAAATTCCTATCCTCGTGGACTTTCCATTTTAGTTATTTCTGGAGACTTTTTTAAAAAGGGAGAATAAAATAATTCTGGAGACAGTAGAGAAGAGAGAGGAAGATACTAGCTCAATTAGAAACTATGGTAATAGTCAAGGCTGAAGATGAGGCTTAGTCTAGGTCACAATGGTGGAGGGAATTAAAAAAAGAGATACATTTGAAAGGAATGTCACAGATGAAACTGAAAGAATAAGGTCATCAACGTGATGGGCAGGAGGGAGAATAGTGACAAAAAACAGGAATACAAAAGTAAATGCAGGTTTCTGTAGTGGGTGACCAGATGAGTGGATGACAAGATGGAGTGGGATACCTAGCAAGCTGATATGAAAGAATGGAAGTTAGGCCACACACAGTTTTAGAAATCAACAGCATCTGGGAAATAATAGAAACCATGAGACTATCTGAGATTGATCAGGATAAAAGTCTAGCACAAGAGATGAGTGACCAAAGGAAAAGACCTAAGGAACACCAACATTTTAGTATGAGAGGAAAGAGATTGAAAATGAACAATCAGGGAAGTAAGAAGAGAATCTGTTTCAAGGAGATGTAGTCAGTGTCATATACTGTTAAGAAACCAAATAGTATGAGGACTAAGACAAGGACAATTCTAAGGGATGCTCAAAATTAGTTACAGCTCAGGATAAATGCAACAACTAACTACTGTATTTTTACATAAATAATGTGCATGTTCCACATTTTTTGCCAACCATACCCCCAAGACATTTTCCTAACTGTGCTATGCTAATTTTTTATAGAAACATAGCTCAATTATAAAAATATTTGGGGGGACAGACACATCGCATGTTTTTACGTGCATATTATTTGTGTAAAAATATGGTAAATGCTATGTCATGGTTTATGTCATGGTTTTGGAAGAGGTCGCAATTATTCCTCCAAAGCATCCAGTTAACAAACTTTATTTCCTAAGGACTAAACAGATCTAGTTTGTAATCTGTGATAAAATACCTCACTTCCATGGGAAAGTCACACCAAATTATATTAAGAACACTTCCAGCAACAAATGCAAAGTTATAGCTTTACTAAAAGTGTGATTTGCACGAAAGAGTACCAATTTTAATAGCTATAAAAAATCTACAAGGCAATATTTTATTTGCGACACATAGATAATACAGAAATGATAGTGAAGATTTAAAAATTAAGTATCTCTGCTTTTTAAATTAATTAAACAACTTTGAAATACACATGTAGGCATAACAAAAAAAAAAACAACTTTAAGAGAGTAGTTGGTAGAAGAAGAACTTAAAAAAGTAAGACTCTGAAACAACAAAGTATGACTTACAAAACTGTAGGAAATTTTACCTTAATCTTATCAATATAATTAACGTCTCTGTGATTAAACACTTCATGGGCTCCATTTTGCATAACAATGTTTTGACCTTTCTCGGTACCAGCTGTAGCCAAAACCTTTAAGCCATAAGCTCTAGCAATTTGACATGTTGCTATTCCAACCTGAAAAACAAAAACAAAAAAATAACCCGACAGGTTTTGATTTCTTACATTTCTCCAAACATTTATGAAATATATACAATGAGCTTAAGATTCTTCTAAGTTATACCCTGTCTTTAAGGAACTTAGAGTCTACATGAAGAAATAAGGAAAACAAAAGTTAATTTTTATTGAACACTGACAATGTGCATGGTACCACATTAAATACTTTATATACACTGCTTAATGTCATTCTCACAATAACTCTACAAAGCAGATGCTATTATTGTCCTTATTCTATAGATGAGGAAACTGAGCTTATAAGTAACTTGCCCACATCACTAAAGAGATAGAAACAGGAGCTGGACCAAATCAAACTACAGAACCACAGTTTTTAACCACGGCACCAAAATGTATACTAAGTACCTGCTTTGTGAAGAAGGTATAGGGTTTAAAGATAATCGAAACATGGTCTCTGACTTCATAGTTTAATTGAACTTATGAAATATTATATAATAAATATAAGGCATCTACCAAAAACTTAATGTAAATATAACATCTCCTTATGTTCTAACTACTTTAAAGGGCACTCAACAGCTATTTTAAAGGCCCCATTTATTCCACTCTTCTCAACAATTATACTAGCAATATGCTTTCAATAGATTATGTACCATTATGTGTCCACTATTTTTCTTCTACTTATTTTGCTAACAGTAAAATAGGGCACTCTCCACCAACCTATGTGTTTGTAAATTCCACATCATTTTAAACATACAACATAATCCCAAAGGAATTTGAATTAAATGAGAACAGAAAGTACAAACAGAAGCAAGACAAAACCCAGTACTCTGTTCCCCTCTGATAGGGCAGGGAGGATCAGAAGCCTTTCACACACCAGGTTGTCGGCCTATTCCTGCCAGCCAAGGATTTAACAAACTCTCAGCCAGCTCAGAGAACAGTGTGGATTTTGCCTTAAAAAAAAAACATGGTAAAGCGACTGTGCTTTTTACAAGAGGGTAAAGGGAATAAAAAGAGATTTTCTTTAAATTCTTCTCTCCCTCTCCTACTGAAATCTCTCACTTCCACACAGAGCACAAGGTTAGCTCTCTAAAAGATAGAGCAATTTAAATACATGCATTTGTTTGACAGAGGCTTTAGTTATTTAAGGTTAAACTTAATTTAACCCCAAAAATAGCATCTTCCATGCAGCTAAACAATGGGAGTTTTAACAAGATATATAGGTCATATTGTCTCAAGCCCTGTAAAGACAATCTTGGTGTTTTTTAGTAAATCGTGTGATCTATTAAATTCTGCAAAATTGATCTATTTGAGGTACATAGGGAATTGGGTGTGAAACCTTGTGATTCATCTACCTAAAGTAACAAAGAAGCACAGTGGACTAAGCGTTTGTACTATCTACCCACCTTTAACTTTCAGGATACTATCTGTTATTCAGTGGGCAATGTACCCTTTTCACAGGGTACTTGTTCCAACCTATCCCCCAGAGTACACCCTCAAGGGTTAACCAGCTTCCTCAAGGTGAGCCATCTACCCCAGGCCCTTTATTTTAAAAATGTAAGATCATGTCTCCAAAATTTCTAAAGCCTCCACCTGTAGGATAGAGGTCATATGGATTTCTTGTTAAATCCCAACCTCAGAGCTCTAACTTTTCCTCTAAGCTCCTCAGAGACGATTGACAGCCAGTTTCTTGAAGAGGTTTCTGACAGCCCAGTTGGATGATTTCACTGAAGGGCTTATTTTATAAATTTTGAATCTCCTCTCCCTACCCTCTTGTCCAACATTAGCATTTTAAGCCATAGGTTGTGGTGTTAAGGACACAGCTGTATACCGTGCACTCCATGAATGTCATCAAAGTGCAGCAGGCAAGCAGTGGAAGGGAGATAGGACTAAGAATTCAGTGTGGCTTTGTGGTACAGTCTGGGGCAGCGTAGGTAAAGATTTAATGAGGCTTTGTTTCCCTATCTAAGAGAATATGGAATTAATATTAACCTTAAAAGAACTGTTCAAAATTCTAAATAAATATCCTTATAACATATGCTACTTGAAGGCAAACACAAGCCCATATTACCTTGGTCCATACCCCACACAGGTAGAAAACCTAATTCTACACGTTTGATGGCTTAGTTGGTTGAATTTATTAACCAAGATGCTAAACTAATAGCAAAGAATCACCTTCAGGAGAAGCTTTACTACAGAGAGGAAATGGCACCCTTGACAATAAGTGTGGCTTTTAAAGATGACTAAAGGAAATATAATGTGAAACTCACAAAGCTCTTTTTACAATAAGCTTAACAAAAATATATACTTACTCCTCCACTAGCCCCATGAACCAGGACAGTATCTCCAGCTTTCACACGAGCACTGGGAAAGAAATTTAAAAAAAAAAAAAAGAAAAGGTTCCATCACCTTATTTTTTGAAGCTAATTAAGCTCAGATGCTTTTTGTTCTATTTAAGTAAACTCTACCCAGATTATCTAACACCCAAATATTAAAGTTATCCTGACATGCAGCCCAAAATTCTTCTCCAATGGATCAAACAATGGTCCTTCAGAGCCACACTTTAAAAAAAATCTTTTTTCCTTCCTCCTTTATTTTTTTCTTCTTTCTTCTCTCCCTTCCTTCTTTTTATTAACTCATTCATTCACCAAATGCTTACTAGGAAAAAACTATGTGCCAAGGCATCCCCAGGTGACACAAACGGTTTGTGCTTGGCTACTAACCAAAAAGTTTGCAGTTTGAACCCACCCAGAGGCACTGTGCAAGAAAAACCTGGCCATCTGCTTCCAAAAGGTCACAGTCATGAAAACTCTATAGAGTACAGTTTTACTCTGCAACACGTGCAGTCAACATGAGTCAGAATAGACTCCACACCAACTGGGTCTTTGGTTTTATTATGTGCCAGGCCCTACGCTGGTTGCTGGGATTTCATTCATGGTGTTACCTTTTGAGAGGCTATGGTCCTTGCAGACTGTAGCCTAGACTAACTGTAGTCTCTCATTCCCACATGTTCCCAGAGAAAGTGTCAAAGCAGGTTTATTATAGCTCATCATTTATTCTGTGGTACAGATTAATCCCAAATTAACTCAGTAGTTAGACTTTTCCACCAGGGGTAAGATAACATTTTTACTTTCTCCAGGCCTTTGAATATCAGGTCGTGCTGGCTTCTATGCCCTCAATGCTGACCCATCAACATTAAAGGAGTGATAAATAGACTAAGTCCTATCACTAAGATTCCCATGTCACCTTCGAAAGTTCCCAGGTCCTCTGGTGACATGACATTTCATTCTTTTTACTTCTGGTTCATACCACTATTTTTCTATTATGTTCTGAAAACAAGGAACCTGCAGCAAAACAGCGTGGGGGGTGCTTTATTATTCCAGATGGATGAGTGCTAATGTCACATGCCAGCAGCTGTTGTGTAATGCAGATCAGACTCTCAGGGAGGATCTCTCACTCAGAACAACAGGAGGTGGGCATACTGCAGAGATGTTATGTTCAATCTGAGAGTGAGAACACAGTAACCCAGAGTCCTGCTCAAGGCTCAGTGCCAACAGCTAACAAATGGCAATAATGAACAATAAATGATGCTTTTTCTAACCCTGATGCTTGGAGTTAAAATGAAGGTTTGAAAACGATAAAGTGAGATAACTATTACCAAAACATTTTGACTTTTGAAAAGTAAAATACAAATGTAGGATCACTAATGTTATACTACGGGATATGCAATACTTCCCAATTAATTAAAAAAAAAAAAAAAAAAAACTTCTAAGTAACACTAAGAATGCATTCTCCTAAGCCCCAAGGCCTTGATGGGTGGGGAAAAAGCTGGCCAGCCTTCTGGTTTCTCATTGCTATTCCCCTCCTATGTTGTGAGAAGTTTGAAAAGTCACCTTCTGCTGGAACTCACAAGAGAAATTCTAGCACCAGCCCTCCCATGCTGCCATCCTCTCCTGGCCTCCTGATTATCAGAGACCCTAGTACCTGTCCCATAGGCTTTCTCTTCCACCCCAAATCCTGTCTCAATCTAGGAGATTTCAACATCCACCTGAAGAAAGCCTATCACAATTCCTGAATTCCTATCCACTTCAGCCACTCTCAAGGGCCTCTGATGGTACATTAGTTAAAGCATTAACCTGCTAACCAAAAATTCAGTGGTTTGAACCACCAACTGCCCCATGGGAGAAAGATAAGACTGCTTCTGTAAAGATTTATAGCCTTGGAAACTCTATGGGGCAGTTCTACTCTGTTACACAGGGACTCTATGATTCAAAATCGACACAATAGCAGTAATTTTGTGGTTGTTGTTGTTTAGCCGCTCTCTCCCAGGGCTCAATCTGGTAAGCAACTCCAAATATTCTATCTGAGAAATATCAGCCACTGATAAGCATTATTACATCAGTGATCCTCATCCTAATTCTATAAGCCCATAATCTCTCAAAACCTTTTCGTAAAGTACACAGAGACCACTATGTCCCAAATGCTCCATTTTCTCCCCAGCTAACGCTCCTGGTCTCCTGTCCTTTCTTACTTGTCCTGGATCCCATGATAGATTCCTCCAGCTTCTCTCTCTAGTGTTCTTATTTCCTTTGAACTGTTTCATTTTGCCACCAATATTCCAGTCCTAGATTATTGTTAAAATCTACCTTCCTTCACACATTATCCAATGGCTGCATACTGTTCTCAAAAGATCACTTTGCCTTAATTAGGAAAAGAGAGGCAATCATACCTGAGCTTCTCTAATACCTTACCTCCCTAACCAGAAATGTTTACATAATTATGTCATCTTTACTTCTTCTAGACTTAAGGGATGACCTTTCTTTTTTTCTTTGAAGCCAAGTTTTCTACCTACACCTCACCTACCTTTCCATCTTGCCTCATGCAGGATCTTGCTCCCTCTGACATTCTTCCCTCTCTTCTAAATCTTCATTCTTTCCCTCTATCCTAGATCCTTCCGTTCAGCTACACACTCAAGACCATCCTTAAAGAAACCCTGTTTGTCCCCATATTCTCCTCAAATAATCTTCTACTCTCTCATTGTCTCCCTGAGTTTTAAAAATAGAGTTGTCCCATTCAAGCAATTGATTTCTTCTTCCTTCCTCAACCCATTCCATACAGCCTTTGTCCTACCAATACACTGCAAATAATCTGACTAAAGTTACTGTTGTTGTTGGATGCCATTCATTGGCTGCAACTCATAGTGACCCTACGTACAACAGAACAAAACACTGCCCAGTCCTGCACCATCCTCACAATCCTTGCTATGCTTGAGCCCATCACTGCAGCCACTGTGTTAAGTCATCTCATTAAATAGTTATTAATGATCTCTTAATCGCTAAACCCAACTGATATTTTTTTTCTGAATAGACCTCACTGCATTTGACAGATAGCCTCTCTCCTTCGAAACAATACTATTACAAATAACAGTACCAATATTGATTGAATACAGAACCCTTACTCTGCTAGATGCTATACTAAAAGCTTTACATGCCCTACCTCATTTAATTCTCACCACATTCTATGAAGTAGATGCTATTATTATCCGTGTTTCACCCATCAGGAAACTGCAGGAAAGTAACTTGACCAAAGCCACATAGCTAGCATGAGGTGAAGACAGTGCTCTAACCTAGGTCTGTCTTCAAAGCATACACACTTTTAACTATTATACCAGTACTTTCCAACTCTTGGTCTTGGAATCTACAACTTCTGGTTCTCTCCAAGATTTTATGCCCTTCCATTGACTATACTCTTAAATGCTGGTATTACTAGGTTTCATACTGACTGCACTGTTTTTCTATTTTGTCAACTTGTCAACTATCATTGATATCCCCAAATTTCTATCTCCAGAATTCAACCTTCAGATTCCTATATCCAAGAGGCTGCCTGACTTCTCCACTGGGATACCTGTTTCTGAGCTTTAAGTCCAAAGCTGAACTCAGCTTCCCTTCAAAACCTGCTCCTTTTCTTTCTCCGTCTCAGTTAAATGTCACCCAAGATAGAAAGCAAGAAGTATTCTTAAGCCCTTCCTCTCTCTCTTTCTCCACACAATCACCAAACATTCCCGATTTTATCCCCTAACTGACTGTCCTTCCTTCTTTATCTCTTTTACCATACCCCTTGCTCTGGCCCATATATACCTTACCTAGAGGAGACTTTACAAGAATCTCCTGTCCCCATTCCTATCCTCAAATCCGTACTTCACACAGCAGATAAGTGATCTCAGTAAAATGCAAATATGACAGTATCAGTCTTCTTAATAAAACATTTCATGGCCCCTAAACTCTTATAGAATATGTGAAATCTACAATCTAGGTTTTTACAATCTGGAATTTACCTATTTGAGACTAACATTTATTGAGGTTACTATGTTTCAACCTTATTCCCTGCCACTCTTTGTCTTGAAATCTCCTATCCAACAAAGCCAAATTGCTGTAGCTCTTCCCATGTACTATACTGTTTCTCCCCATATACCATGCTCTTCCCATAAAATGCCCTCTCCCCTCCCAGCTACCTTCCCCAGGCTAAATGCCTGTGATCTTTTTCAAATAGCTGATAATTAGATTAAAATGTAGATTCTCAGGTCCCTGCCTTGGAAATTGATTAGCAGGCCTGGTGTAGGGCCTTGGACTGTGGCCTTGGACTGTATTTTAAATTTCTGCTCACATGATTCTGATGCATAACAAGATTTTGGAACTGTGGCTTTAAAATAACCCACACCTCACACCCCACTAAGAAGCCCTTTCTGATCACCACAGGCACATCCCTTATGATCCCATAAAATCCCTGTACTCATCTCTATCACGGTACTTTGCACTTTATACATATTCTTATCACTCTTACATCTATCTCCTTTACTAGACTGTGAGCATCTTGAAAACAAAGACAGTTTTGCTCTTTACTGTATCCCCAATGATTAGCAAAATCCTCCAAATTACCAGTTTCCTCTCCATAAATGCTTAATGGTAACTAGATGGTAACCAAAACTGACAGACAGATGGATAGACAGATGGCAGGAAGGTAGTTAATGTTATCCTTCTTTGGTGTTAGCTGTGTAGTTGGCAGAGTGTTATTACCTGTGGAACAGAGCTCGATAGGCAGTAAAGTAAGGGATACCAATGGCAGCTCCTTGTTTAAAGTCCAGTTTTTCTGGCAGTGAGTAAACTGTGTGATCTGCTGCAACAGCATACTCTGCATAGCCCCCAGAGATCGTGCTGGTAGTGAAAACTCTGTCACCTTTCTAGGAGAAGAGATAAATTAAAAAATGCATCAGGGATTAAAAGTGAAGTCAACACAGGTGTAGTTCTTTATAATGCAACCTTTATACCAAGAAATAAGTGACCTCATACTGTTTTCTTCACCTTAGGGTCTCATAAAAGTGAATTGTCAAACATTGAAAGTTTTGAAATATTTTAAAAATATTTTACTAATGGGAACCATGAGAAGACAGATTAAGAGGACAGGGAAAATAAAAGAAAGAGAACCCTCAGAATGCCATAATGATGTTGGTGATGATGATGATAACTAACTTTTATTGAGAGCTTACTGGTCTAGATTCTACATATAGTGTCTTGTCTGTATTATCTAACGTGATATTCATAACAACCTAGGAGGTAAGTACTTTTATTATCTCTAACTTAGATTAATCTCACCTTACAGATAAGTAATTCAAGGAACAAAGAATTTCAGTAATTTGCTCAAGATCAAGTAACTAGTAAGCATTAGTTAATATAAACCATTGTTAATTGTTAAAAATACTGGGGGGGGGAGCAAATAAAATGTAAAGTTTTTTCTATAAACCAAACACCTCTTCTGAATACTTTCTATGGATTTCTTTACTTGCATGTCCACCACTTTTTATGCCTACACCAAAAAGCAAAAAACAAGCCTAGGGTCCTGTCAGAAGGCCAAGCCAGGCTTCTTCACTTGTCACAGCACCAGAAACACAGTAAACTCTTAATAAATGTTTGCTGAGTTCTTGCTGTTGAAAAGCAGATGTATGACTGAGGTAAGGCACTATATAGGTGTAGTTGGCCTAATATGATTAGAACACTAGGGCAAATTAGCCCACCCACTAAGCTCACTTAGCTCTTCTCTCTTGAAAAAAATGTAAATATTCCTTAGAACAGGGGGAATATTAAGACAGTGATGGGTCACCCACTGCCATCGAGTTGGTCCCAGCTCACAGTGACCCCTCCTTGGGTTTCTAAGGCAGTATCACTACAGAAGTAGTTGGCCAACCTTCCTTCCGAGGAGTGGCTGGTGGATTTGAACCGCCAGCCCTTCTGGTTAGTAGTCAAATGGCCTAGGCACAACACCACCAGAGCTCCCAATGATTGCTAAGTAGTTTTTAATTTATCCTATAGTGAAGAGATCTGAAAAAGTAACAGCACTGGTACATTGAAGCAAAACAGGATTCTGAAAGGTATCTAGAAATCAAAGACAAGCATCAACAGCTTAACAGTATTGCCTGCCAATGGTCAAGTATGACTACGTTAAGATTAATCCTCTTTTTATAGCTTAAAAGGTGTGCTGAATTAATTTCAATGTTGTCTAAATATTTGCTCAGAATCTACTATATGGAAAGTGTTACTCTGAATTCTATAAGGAATACTACCAGTAGCACTCTGTCCCTAATCTCAAGCACTGCGTTTTCATACTTGAGATCAGGGACAGAGCACTGCTAATAGTATTCCTTATGGATTGCAACGTAATGCTTTACATATAGTGGATTCTTGTAAATGTATGAATTGTATTTACATCAATTCAACAATGTAGTTAAAGACTACAAGCTTCAGAATGGATTACACCTGAACGCAAAGAAAACAAAAATCCTGACAACTGGATTGAGAAACAACCTGATGATAAACAGAAGATAATGAAATTGTCAGCAATTTCATTCTACTTGGATCAACGATCATTGTTTATGGAAAAGCAGTCAAGTAATTAAACATATTATATTAGACAAAACTGTTGAAAAATACTTCTTTAAAACTTTAAAAAGATAAGATATATTTTGTTGATTAAGGTGTGCCTAACCTAAGTCATGGCCTTTCTAAGCGCCTCATATACATGTGAGAGTTAGTGAAAAAGGAAGACAGAAGAACCAATATGTTCAAACTGTGGTATTGGTAAAGAATGGTAAATATTCTACAGACTGTCAGAAGAATGAACAAATCAGTCTTAAAAGAAGTACAACCAGTACTCCTTAAAAGTGAGCATGGTGAGACATCAGCTCATTTTCTTTGGACATGTTATCAGGAAAGAGCCATCCCCAGAAAAGGACACCAAGTTTAGTAAATCAAGGGTCAGAGAAAACCAGGGAAACCCCCCATGAATGGATTGATAAAGTAGCCACAACAATGGACTCAAACATCCTAACAATCATGAAGATGGCACAGGACTGAGCAACATTTATTCTGTTACACTTAAGGTCACCATGGGTCAGCGCCAACTCAACAGCAACTAACAACAATCTCAAGCATCCTAAACTCTTAGAGGAGGGAGAAGGATAGAAAGAATTATGTTGCTGTTGTTGTTGTTAGGTGCTGTTGAGTCAGTTCCAACTCAGAGCAACCCTATGTATAACAGAACGAAACACTGCCTAGTCCAGCGCTATCTTTACAACTGTTGCCATGCTTGAGCCCATGCTAAGTCATCAAGAAAGATATTAAAAAAGAACTATATTTAAAGGAATCAAGGATTATTTCCCTGGAAGCTAATATTTGAGGTACATCTTGAAGGATAGGAGATTTTGAAAACTAGAATTGGGAAGAGTTATCATAGGTAAAGGAAACAAAGTACTATGGCTTGATTTGCTTCCCCCACAAAAAGATATACTGTCCTAACTCCAGTATCTGTGAATGTGACTTCATTTGGAAATGCAAATATATTTGCAAATTTAATTAGTTAAAGTAACATGAAGTCATACTGGAGTCTGGAGTATGATGGTCCCCAAGTCAATATAACTGGTATCCTTAAAAAAGAGGAGAAAAGACATAGAGAGACAAAGGGAAGGTGGCCATGTGGAAGACAGAGGCAGAGATTGGAGTTAAGGGGCTGGAAGCCCAGGAACACCTGGTAATACCAGAAGCTGGGAGAGACATAAAAGGATCTTGCCTGAGCTTTCAGATAGATTTGGCCCTGCTGATACCCTGAATTCAAACTTCTAATCTCTAGAACTGTGGAACAATACTTTTCTGTTGTTTTAAGCCACATAATTTGGAGTAATTTGTAACAGAAGCCCTAAGAAACTAATATAGGAAGCAAAGAAATAGAGGCAGGAATATATTCTGTTTTGGTGACCTAGTGCTGCTCTGACAGGAATATAGCACAAATGGGATGACTTTAACAAAATGGAATTTTTTCTCTTACAGTTTAGAGGCTTTAAGTCTGAGTTCAAAGTGCCAGGCTCTAGGGGTTGGGTGAAAGCCCCTCAACCTTGGGCTTTAGCTCTGCCTCCTGTTCTCGACCCACTGAAGCTGGAGGCTTTTCTCTACTCAGAGAGCTACTGGCTGCTCAGGCTGAAAAACCCAAAGTCAACAAGTACAAAGGCACAGTTCCAGTGTTACCAAACAGCACGGCAGGCCACTAATTCAAGTCCAGAAGAAGTCCCAAGATCAGCAGGGCATGGCAGGCTGCTGAATGACTTGGCTACACGGAGGGTTCAAGAGTGCCAAAAAGCTGGAAACCTTCCTCAAAGTTGCTTTGACTACTGGAAGCAGACCACATCGCTAAAGCAGCTACTCAGGTGCTCCAATAGATTCCACCGTGGAGTTAATTACCAACCTAACCACAGAGAATAACTACATCCAGCTCCCCAGCTACTCGACCAAGCCAGAACAAGATGACAAACAAACTTAACTACCGTAAATGCTAAGATATGACCAGCATTTATGCCCAATGAATAACTAGCTAAAAGTATGGTATGTTCAAGAGATAAAATGGGAAGATACTAAAGCTGGAGGGTAAAATCCCTTGAACCCATGTTTACAACTTTCAATTTAATTCTGCCAAGCAGAAAAACCACTACAAACAAAGACACAGGGATGAAAGAGCATGGGACATGAAGAGAATGACAAGCAGCTCATCACTAAAGAATAAATTACAAGGTGAGGGGGTAGGAAATGGGAGTGGAAACACAGGCAGAAGAGAATGTGAAGAAGTTCTATTTTATAACAGTAAGGAGTTTCAACAATACCTTGAAATCTACAAGAAATTAATTTAGCAAGAATTAAAATGGAGTTGTAACATAATCAAAATAACATTTTATAAAAATTACTCCTAGAATAAGGATAAATTTGAGGAGGATGGAGGGAGGGTAGTTAAGTATCTACTACAGAAATTCAGATAAGAGGTGTACTTGAGGTTGTTTTGTCTGAACCAAACCACAGTAAGAGAAATGGGAAGCAAGTGAGAGAAAACATCTAGTAAGAAGAGAGAGTTGAGTGAAGGAGTGTGAGGAGATAAGCTTCAAACCTCAGACACTCTCTGAGAGCAGATCTGAAGGGAGAAAGATAGGCTCAGTTAGAGTCAGAGGTTCCTGGAAGTTTACCATGCAGGTTTAGCACTCTCCAGCAGAACTTCCTATGGTGATGGAAATATTCTCTATCTGCTCTGTGCAATACAGTAGCCACTACATGCATGTGCCAAGTGAGCATTTGCTAGTATAACGGAGGAATGTTTTTTTGTTTGTTTTTTTTTCAATTTTTATTTTAACTGATTGAATAGCAAATTGTGACATGTAGTTAGTGGCTATAGTACAGGGAAGCACAGGTCTAGAACTTAGTAGAAAATTCTAAGCTAAAGATACCACAAAGTGATAATGGACTGGAAGGGCTCAACCATGAAGAGGTCAGAGAATAGAAGTAGAGGTCAAGGTAGAGACCAAGAGTGGGGGCAATGGTAATAGTTAAGCAGCATCCAGAGAAAAAGAAGCCTGAAAAAGGGTGCTCAAAGAGGAAGAGGGGAGGAGAACAGGAGACAATGATGTCACAGAAGAGGAAGAAAAAGTTTTTAAGAAAAATAAGTGCCTGAGAGTGTCAAATGTCACAAAGAAGTTAAGAAAGATAATGACATAAAAGGGCCCATTAACTTCAGCAATATAGAGGCCATTAGTGACATTAGCAAGAATCATTTCAGTGGAGCAATGGGGGCAGAAGCCAAATTGCCACCGGCCAAGGAGTAAAAAGCTGCCTGAATTTGTGCGTCATCCTGTGCAGAGGCCACGTTAATCTTCTCTGTCTCAGTCCAATTCTGGTAAATGTGCTGCCAAAATTGTTCAGGTCAAGGAATTATGAGGAAAGATGTTAGAACATGGATATACTATCCATGTTTTATATGTCTTTTGGAATATAAATAACAAAAGCCATGATCCTACTTTCATTGACTCAGTAATTTCTCATCTTTTACTTATTTCACAAAAGAATTAACTTCCCTTTATTCTGTGAAGCTAAATCTATTGAAAGAATTAAAAATTATGTTGGCATGCATATTATCAAATCTTAGGAAATTGTATAATTTCCTTGTATATTTTCTTGTCAATTTCTATTTAATCAAAAGGATCACAGCTCAAGTTGGTGGGGATGTGAAGATACAAAAATTGCCCAGAATTTATCCCCAATATTGCAAGCAAAAAGGCCTCTAGATAAAAAAAAGTAGTTTCTTTTTTGACTAGAGGAGTCCCCCAAGTGGCAGAAATTGTGTAATGGGGCCATTTAAAGCCTTAAATTCAGACACATTTTAAAGCTGTGTCAAATATTTCAAGCCAAAAGAGAAATATTAAAAATATAATACCTTGAAAGCAGATACATTATTTCCTACAGCTTCTATTACCCCAGCCACATCTGAGCCAGGAGTATAGGGCAAGGCTGGTTTTCTACTATAAGTACCAGAGCAAATGTATGTCTCCACTGGGTTTACACCACAGGCATGAACTTTGATTAGAACCTGCAATGACAATGTATTTTAGTTCACACAGAACATTTAGGCATTCATTCAACATTGCACTAGGACTGTGCTGATTATGGGATCTATAAAAATGAAATACAAAGAAACAACCAGGTCGTTACCTTCAACAAGTTCACGTTCTAGTTTTATAAACCAACATGCAAATAAAAAGATATGACAAATAGCTTCTGTGCTGTACTGAAAACACTTAGGGAATACAGTGTATGAATATTTTAGGGCAAGTGTGGCAAAGACCTCCATGTATGAAAAAACCTATTTCCTCTTTTTCCTGAGTATATGGAAAGAGTATTATTTTTTGGTCTCTTTCACAGTTGTAAGTGGCCAAAGACTGAATGCTAGACAATGAAATGTGAAAAAAACAGAACCACTTTCAGAACCAGTCCATAAGAACCTCCCAGACAATCTACACTGTACCTTTCCTTTCTCTGGGGACCTCAGAAGCCACATGCTGAAACACATGATGGAAGAAGCTTGTCTCCACATCACTGTTGGAGCAGAGCTACTCACCAACATTTTAATAACATTCTACAACTGAATCACTGAGATGCTAAAGCTACTTCTACTACTGTAGCTAATTTTACTGTAATTAATGCAGAATGATTACTTCTGCTATAAGAGTAAAGAAAGAAAAGCTTCAAAAAGGAAGTAGTATTTAAGCTAAGTCTTAAAGGATAAGTAGAAATTCCCCAGAAATGGGAGAGGGGAAAAAAAAAAAAAAAAAAACTCTGGTGGGAAACCAGATAAAGCTTGATGCTGTTATAGCACCTCTACTGAGAACGAGTGGGAACAAATAAATCTGCAAAGACAGCCTACAACCAAATTTTAAAAACTCTCATAAGGCTTACTAAGGAAATTAGATTTAAGAATCTTGGAGGGCACAGTAATAAAAAATACAAAATTTTGAATCAAAAGTACATTGTTAAAGTCATCACATATGATTAAATTCTACACTTACATTCTATTAAATCATATAAGATTGTATACAGAAGAAAATGTTTCCCCATTGTGCATAAAATGCTAAAAGACAGTAATAGAATAACTTGTTCAAAACTACTTATGACTCCATTCAAAAAAATCCAATTATTGCATTGCATACATGATTCTTGTCTTCAAAACTTATCTTATGACTAGAGGTTTTCATATTTATAAATTGTTAGAATCGTGTTAACTTTTTTAACTTTGTCAGAGTTCATACACATGAACAGTAAAAACTTTGTCTTAATTCAGTATCTTTAAAAATCATTGAGTCTGCTTTTATTAAACTTGATATTTGTGCTAGAGAGTCACATTCAGTGTAATTATCAGCTGTTTGAAAGTAAATTTTCTACCTGATGGTCTTTTGGAATCGGTTGTACAATATCTGACTGCAGTTTCAGCACTTCTGGTCCACCAAATTCAAAAACACTAATAGCTCTCATCAATTTCTGTCCAGTTGCCATGGTGATCTAGATAATAATAATAATAATGCATTGTTATATTGTACGCAGGTGTGATAGTTGAAGATGTGTCAACTTGGCTGGACTCCAGTTGTGAGTGGTGGTTCCCATGATGGATCACATGACTGAGTTCTGAG